CAGATTGGGAAGCAATGACAGACTTTATTTTCTCGGACTCCAAAATCACTGCAGATAGTGACAGCAGCCATGAAATTAAAAGACGCCTGCCCCTTGGAAGAAAAGCTATGACAAACCTAGACAGCATATTAAAAAGCAGAGACATTACTTTGCTGACAAAGACCTGTCTAGTCAAAGCTATGGTTTTTCCAGTAGTAATGTATGGATGTGAGAGTTGGACCATGAAGAAAGCTGAGCACCGAAGAACTGATGGTTTTGAACTGTGGTTCTGGAGAAGACTCTTGAGAGTCCCTTGGACTGCAAGGAGATCAAACCAGTCCATCCTAAAGGAAATCAGTCCTGAATATTCACTGGAAGGACTGCTGCTGAAGCTGACGCTCCAATACTTTGGCCACCTGATGCGAAGAACTGACTCATTTGAAAAGACCCTGATGCTGGGAAAGACTGAAGGCAGGAGGAGAAGGGGATAGCAGAGGATGAGGTGGTTGGATGGCATCATCGACTCAATGGACATGAGTTTGAGTAGGCTCCAGGAGTTGGTCATGGACAGGGAAGCCTGGTGTGCTGCAGTCCATGGGGCTGCAAAGAGCTGGACATGACTGAGTGACTGAACTGAACACTCAAGGGTTTTTAAACAATGCCAGCAGTGTTCATCCCATGTTAGTATTTTTTGACATTAACAGTGGAATCTGATGCAACCAAAAATAAACCTCTATGACAAAAAGCTTTCCAAATACGAGGTGGCGCTTCCTGGCCTGGAGAAAGAGGCTATTTCCTTAGTACCTGAGATACTCACTCTGTCATTTCCTGTTTCACTTTCCACCGATTTCCGTTATCTACACGCTCAGGCTCAGGAGGGTAAAATAAACTAGCTGTGGGATTTTTAAAGGCAGAAAAGTTTCTTATTCAACACTGTACTATCTGAACCCAGGTCAGCTGTTTGCTAGATGGACCAACCAGGCCAGAAGAACGTGGCCTCCCCATCCCATTCCATCCCAAGCCATCCCAGACCAACACGCTTCTGGACCAGGTAGCAGCTGCTCCTCCTCAGCAGTCACGCTCATGGCTCAGACCCTTAGGAGTGAGGCTTCCCACCCCAGCAAAGTCTGAAGAAGCTAAATTAATAAATTCTAGACTGCCCTTCTTGCCCCTAGAGCTAATATAGAAACGTGATTATTAATAATAAGAACTCGATGCGTAAGACAGTCCACCGGCCATCTTTGAGAAAGACTAACCTCCTAAACAGGGAACTAGACAAGACACGGACCACTCTCCTCTCTCAGCAGGAAGAAGCCCTAAATGCCTACTGCAGATACAACATCGGCGCCAAAACGGGGCCACCAGGCGCAGGGGAACCCAATCAGGGCAACAAGGCACACACAAGACCAGGAAAACAAACCCACACACTCAAATAGCTCAAAGAGGGAAGAGAGACGAAGACAGTGCCAGCGCCAAGGCAGGGGTCAGAAGGACTGGTCTTGGATAAACGGCAAGGCAACAGGACTCGTGCTTTCATTCAACAGACCCATGTCAGGCCTGGCTAGCCAAGGGGCACGAGTGTCCCCAAGGACAGAGAGGCCATGGACAAAGCCGGGTTACAAAGGGCCTCAGGCCCAGAGGAGGTCAAACGGTTCACAGGGAATCCCAGAAGCTTCTGATCTTGGAGCAAGAGTAAGACGGTGCACAAAGCAGTGTCCTGCACACACGCAACTACTTCTTGACAATAAAATATCTGACGAAAGCATCTGCTTGGCAGTTGGCATGGTGAAAGCCTGGATGAAGCACAATCAGGGGAGAGGGAAAATTCTGTAAGTCTAATCGTAAAATAACATGTTTTCTTCTTCCCTCTTGTTATCAACACAGATAAAGTTTTACTGTCCTTAGACCAAAATATTTTACAAAACAAAACAGTATATAACAAAAAGATATGAATACTATAACTTATCTACGCAATTGCTGGGCACATAATAAGTGTGAGTTGCTCAGCTGTGTCTGACTCTTCGACCCCATGGACTGTAACCTGCCAGGCTTCTCTGTCCACAGGATTCTCCAGGCAAGAATACTGGAGTGGATTGCCAGTCCCTTCTCTAGGGGATCTTCCCAAACCAGGGATCGAACCCAGGTCTCGTGCACTGCAAGCAGACTCTTGCAATAGTCGGAGCCACCAGGCAATTGCTGGGCACATACGACATACTACATAACTACAGTTATCTGCACTGGCTCAGCCCCTTCAAAGCGGGAAAGCTGTTCCACACTCTCCAGTGACTAAATACAGGGGTCAGATGAGAATACTGCCAAAATAATACGAAACCTGTATCAAGCACTCACTAAGTTCAAGGCACTTAAGCCGCACAAAATCCTGAGATCAGCACCACGATTAACCCCGTTTTGAGGATGAAGAAACAGAGGACAGAGAGGTGGCCAAGGATGGCGCTCTGAGTCAAATCCTGAAGTCTGGCAGCTTGTAACAACTCAACTGTATCTGTTTTTACCAGTGATGCATTATTCAAGTTCTTGGTCCATTAAGAGAGCCATTAGAAAAAGAAAAGAAGAAAAAAGGCCCAATCGACAAAAAACATTTCCAAAAGAGATAACTGTATAAATAACAAGTGTTGGCCAGTGTTAGTATAACACCACATCTTCAGACACTCCTATTTTACCAATCACTGACAAATCTTAGCTTCCGAAGCCACATCCTTAAGTTTTCCTGAAAGCAACCCAACTTACAAATTCATTAAGCAGAAAACCTTCAAATTTAAGTAACACCTATAAATAGCCTACTTTGAACAGACTCCATAACACACGAGGGAACTTTTTCTGAAAAAATTCAAACTACTTTGAAAAGAATTCTCTAAAAATAACTCTCTTTAGAATTCTCTGCAGTTTACACTTATACTCACAGACAGACAGACAGACAGACACACACACACGTGCCATTTACATAGATATGCAGCTTAGATAGATAAATATAAATAGATCCATACCTATCCTTACCCCTACCCAGGTATATGCACGGTAAAACAATTTCAAAAAAATACACAAATACACAGAGATGAAGTATTTAGAAAATGATTTTGAACATCAGTTTCACTTTCATTACAGCTTTGATTAAAATAGCTTAGGTATAAACGCTTCTATAGTGAACATTCCAGAGACACAGCTTCTAAAATTCTAACACTATTTTACCAAAACAAACTATATTATACATATAAACAAAACCAGAAATTAAGAATTAAATAAAATCACTTCTGAGCATATACATAAAATCATTCATCATCTCAGAGACTGACATTTCCACCTCTGAGGACAGTGACTGAGCCTTCAACTACTGCTGTAACAAATGAAAGTCTATAATTTACTTTCCTTTCAGTCTGGGTTGGCTTTCAACACTAACCAGTTAAGAGGTAGAGGGTACAATTGAGTAAAAATGCAAATGTGTATAGATATACACCAGTGCTTCTCAACCCAGGCAATTCTGCTCCCGAGAGACACTTGGTAATGTCTGGAGACATTTTTAGCTGTCACAAAATGGGGGGTGGGGGTAGGGGGCTGGGCAGGGGGATGACAAGGGGGAGAGAGAAGAGCATCTAGTGGATAGGGGCAGATGCTGTAACTGCGCGACAGCAGGACGGCCCCACAATAAAGAATTCCCCAGCCCTGAATGTTACTAACACCTCTGTTGAAAACTCTGATATACACAAATATGACCATACTTTATTTGTTAAAAGTAAATATGTCAAGTATGGTTCTTTCATCAGGAACTGAATGATTTTTATTTTGTTCTTTTTATCTTATTGCATTTTTAAACACTACACATTTGCCATTTACAATGGGGGGCAGGGATCCATTTAGGAATAAACTTTTAAGAGAAAGACAAACTGTTTGATCCCCATCCCGAAAGGACTTTTTCTCCAAGGACTGGTCTTATTCAGCACCCCGGCCTTCAGCGAAGGGTCAGGAAATTTTTCCTCTAAAAAAAATTACCTCTCCGCCTTGAAGCTGTTATTCATTAGCCCTGTATTATAACGAATATTCCAAATATCTAGCAGCACTCCAAAATGTAAAACTGCACAGCCTCACCAGTCAATTTCCAGCTACACACCCTGTTTTCTAAACAGCCACAAGAGACAACATAGAATTAAGTGCTATCACCAATGGAGGAAGTAAAGAACATCCTCAAAATTACCACGCACAAACTATTCCCTGAGGATTCAAACCACTCCCCCACCTACCCAAAACATGCATCTCCCATGCCGTGCATGCATGCTGTCGCTGCTAAAAGACAGTCAACAATATTTAAATGTGTGTATCTGCAATCAATGAAAATCTCTCCTAAAGTTAAAACACCTTAAACACAAAGGCTTTGCAGTACTCCATGGCAGCGGCAAGCCCTGGATGATGCCAAATGTCCCACCAATCTTCACCAACGATTTTTCCACGTGCCGTCATTATATCGCATGGGGCGGGGTGGGGGCCTTAAATTCGAGTTCTTAACAAGAGGCTGTATGTTAACACGAATTAAAGGCACTTGGAAAAGATCCAAGGTCACAATCCTTTAAAGTCCCGTCTTCATCCAAACAAAGATACTTAAGGCCAATGGCGAGGACCACTCAGTAACATTTCCGAAAGCAGCACTGCATCTTCCGGTGGTTCTCAGGCACACAGCCTGGCTCACCGAGAGATCAGGGCACGGGCCCCTCGCCCACCCTGGACCACAGGCGGCCGAGGGGCCCGCCCTGTCCCTGGGCACCGGCGCCGCGGGCCGCGGCCCTGCTGAGGTGGCCTCGGCTCCCACCTCCTGAACTTGGGGCCGGCGTGACTCACGCCCTGTCACATGGCGCGGGAGGCGGCCGCGCAGGCCACCGTGGCCAGGTGTTCAGGCTCGGCCCGACCGTTTATTTGTCTTGCAAAGTGGCCCGAGCGCCGGAGCCGCGGGGGGGCCGCGGCCTCGGAGCCTCCCCCGCCCCCCGCAGCCGCCCTGTCACCTCGGCCGTCCTCACCTGAGTGGGCAGCAGGAGTTCCCCTTCCTCCGCCTGCCACAGCTCCACCACGTTCGGCATGGGCTCGATCGCTGCACCAACACCAAAAAACACACGGCGTTTTTAATGCACGGAAAAGAAACGCTTCCTGTTTCCCGATCGCCTCCTCCGTGCACCCGCCTCACCAAAACAAGCCTCCCTTCCCCTCCAGAAGCGGAGGCCACCCGAGAAGCCAGCCGCGGATCAGAACACAATGCACCCGGTGCGAGCCGGCAGCCCCTCGGACTGTGAGGCGACGGCGTGCGGGCTCGCGGGCTCTCGCGCTGGGGGGAAGGCAGGCCACCCCGCGGGACCCCGCGCTCCGCATCCCGCAGCAGCTGCGGCGGGCGAGTGCGGGACGCGGCCCTGGCGGCCGGGCTCGGGGAACAAAGCTGCAGGAAGCCGGGCCGCGGCGGGGCCCCAGCGCGCGCCACACAAAGCGGGGGCTGCGCCCGGGGCGCCCGGGGCCCGCGCACAAAGGCTCCGGGGCGCGCGCGGCTAGCGGTCCGCGCCGCGGTCCCCGAGCCCCGCGACTGCCCAGCTTTCGGGTGGCCGGAGGCGCGGGAGCGGACGCCTCGGGGAGCGGAGGGCACCAGCCCGTAATTGCCGCCGCTCTCCTTCCCCTTTTCCCGTTCCTCCCCTCGCCCTCTTACAGATCTCAGCGGTTCCCCCAAAAGAAAGGGGGGGGCGGGGTGGAGCGGGGAGCCCGCGGAGCGGTGGCAGGCTGACCTTGTCCCTGAGCCCCTCCCGGGCGGCCGCAGGGCAGGAGGACGTGGAAGACGCCCAGCAGGAGGTTCACGGCCGCGGCGGTGCGGCGGTGCCAGCCGGGCTGCGGGCGTCGGGGCCCCGCCATGCTGCTGCTCGCGCTCCTCTCGGCTGCTCGCCGCGCTCGCCGCCCGCTCGCTGGCGCCCCGGCCGCCTCGCCCGGGCCCGCCCCCGCGCCGCCCGCCCGCCCCGCCCCGCCCCGCGCCGCCGCGCCGCCCCCGCCCCCGCCGCCGCCGCAGCTGCTGCCGGCCCGCCTCGGGCGCGCCGCTCGCTCCGCGCGTGTGCGCCACAGATAGGGAGGGACGGAACGCCGAGGGGCGCGGGGAACGTGGACAATGCGAACGCCGCGGCCGCCGCCCCGCCCCGCGCGGAGCGCACGGCCGCGGGCCAGGCGCGAGGCCCCGAGGCGGGGGCTCCGGGCATTTTCCGCGACCGTGACAGGGGCGCTGAGAGCCGGCGGGAGGGCTACCGGGCCACTGTCGCCAGGAACTTTGGGGTGGTTTCCGCTTGGTTTGACACGCGGGCCACGATCGCCTTATGACCCACGGGGACGCCCGGTGGTCGTGGGTGGTGGGATGCGGCGTCGCCCAGCGGGAGGCCCTGGGCAGGATATTAGTGGAAATAATGCACTGCTTGTCCGGAAAGGCGAGTGCAGCCACATGGCTACTGCCAGTCTGCAGCGAGCGTATCCGGTGGCTGCGAAGTCTGTAATTTAGCATAAGAAGAGTTCCCCCAAGACCCGAGCGGCTGACCTCAGCGCCGCGTGGCGGGGGCGCACCCGTCACCCTCCGTGGAGACCGTCCAGTTGTGACAGGTGGGGAAGCCTCTTCGGAGAGGATTTACGGTTTCAAAGACCCTGCACACACTCTTCTTCGGATTCCTATTGCAAAATTTAGCCAGCCTCTTCTGAAATCTAGCTGGGGTCTGGGACGTGGTCAGTTGCCTGTCTCTAACATTCCCGCGGAAATATGAGTGATACTCGGAAATGTGTTTTCCGGCTCCATTTTTTGGATGCCTAGAACCAAAAAGTACACATAAGATTGGGGATGTCTTTTAAGTTAATGCTGTGCCAACGGTATCAACAGCAAGGGTTTATTCAGGAATCCATTTACATAAGCTGGAAGTATTGGCAGTCTTAAGATATTTTCAGTTAATTTGCTGCTTCCAGAGTAGCTTGTATGAAATTCAGAAAGTAAGAGCAATGTAGAGAGGGGAAGTGACCGGGGCACACCTGTCTGCTTACATTGATCCTCTGTTTAATTGCTTCTGGTGCCTTAGAGTCTAGACAATGGCAAAGCAGTGGTTGAATAGCAGGACAGATGCAGAGAAGAACTAAATCAATTATGGATCCTCTCTTTCCCAAGGACATAATACAGTACTGTAAACCCAGCCTCACACTGGGCATAACTCTAAACAAGGTTAAATAGCCTAATTGCTTGGCCAGAACTTAACATTTAAGAAGATTAGCATAAATATAAAACCTCCATGTTAAAAATAAAAAAGCGTGTTGCATTATCTACTCTGTGGTATTCTCCCATCCCTTACCTTTTCCCCACGTTGCCTGCCAGCATCTCCCTTTCCTTAGCAATAATCTCCAGTCCCAAACCAGCATGTCCCTTTTTTCTCTTCATTTTACTTCTCTAGGTTTGCTCTTGCCCCTTTGGCTCTGAAGGTCTATCTTCTACTGTGTTAACGAGGCCTCTTAAGACAAGAATACTTGCCTAGTCCACTTAAGTAGTAACTGCACCTTCAAAGTTTGTTTTTAAATGAAAGTTCCCTCATTGACCTGTTTATTTACAATCTGTATTTTTTCTAAGACTTTTTTGAAGTAAATCATTTTTAAAGCCTTTTTTGAATTTGCTATAATATTCTGTTTTATGTTTTTTGGGTTTTGGTCAAGAAGCATGTGGCATCTACCTGACCGGGGATCAAACTTCCACCCCCTACACTGGAAAGTGATATCTTAACCACTGGACGCCAGGGAAGTCCCTACAATGTGTATTTATGTCTTCTGACCATGCTACTTAGAAAGAAAAGCAAGCAAACATCAGCAACCTAACAGGTTTTATTAAATAGTTTAAAAAACAGTCACAGGCAAAAACTTTTTTTTTTTTTGCTAATTTCTAAACTGTTTTACTTTTCACTGAAACTTTTTCACACCAGCCAATACCATAGAATCAATGAAAATGGCTTAACAGAAGAAAATTGCTATCGACAGTATATAAATACAGCTGTATTTTGTATTTCTACTGAAGCTTTTTAAAGGTCAGCTTAATTTTTCAAGTTGTGGTCTTGTGGACTTTACGGAGTTGGTAATGCTATTTGACTGTTGTTCAAAAGCCAGAAGTATGTCTGCAGTGCCATGGGGTTGGAGAGGGATACAGGATTACACAGCTGTCTTCTTAGATAAATCTGACCTACTTAGCCTTCTCTGGAGGTATTTTTCATGCTGACTCATGAACAACAGGAAAGTTACGGCCCATCAAGTAGCATCCCTGTTTTGAAGTAAACTTCTCCAAAAAGCCTCCTGTGCTGTTCATGCTTTATTTCTGTTATTAAGATAATAGGTATCCTATTAGAGCTAGAAAAACTTCTATTAAATAGTGGCCTAACTGCCTCATTTTACAGAAGAAACTGAAGCCCAGAAAAGGTGAGAAATGTCCATGTTACAGTGGCATGGTTATGCAGAAGTATGTATGAAATAATGGTAACTGAAAAAAGTTAATGTAAACATGATTTAACTTGATATGCAAATTATATACAGAAGATTAAAGCATGGAAGAGACATAGGAGGTAAAAAAAGAGACATTTTACCAGAGTATATCAGTTTTAAATTAGATCTATAGATTTTTTAAAACCAAATCTAAGAGCAACTAAATCTACCTTTACTTTAAACATGCAAGATATTGGCCATGCTTTTGACTTACTTTACCCTTGTTTTTTTTTTAAAGAGTACAGATGAAAACCAAGCAAGTTTATAAATATGAGTTATATCTCATCCTACAGAAAATTGATGGGGAAGGGTCAAGCCCAAATCATTTATCTCTAATCCAGAGAAGATTGAACACAGCAGGTTACAAGGTGGTTGTGAAGGTTAGATGAGATACTGTGGGGTGAGCATCCCGTGGATGGGTTCAGTAAACGCTGGCAGCGGTATTACCATATGCTTGCACTGTGGGGAGGCACGAGACTTTCAGGTACATGCTAAGTTTGACACTGATGTTCAGTTACTTGCATTACCTCGTCATTGCCATTCACTGTCATCTCTTATCACTCAGACATGCTGGAAATGGGAATGATTAATGAAATGTACACGAAACAGTTGCTTTCTAGTTCATCTGTTCATTTACATTTATGGCCTCACCCCAGTGGAGACAACAAAACTAAGTCTCCTATCAAATCATCACTGCAGTCACTGCTGGGACACAAGTCTCTTCCTTGCCTGGGAAGAAAGGCACAGAAGGGATGGTTCTTGAGCTTAGCAGAAACCTAGGGATTATGGTCAGGAACTCTTAAGATGCAGACTGCCCCCATGACTCAAGAGGACCTTTCTCACTCTTTATTCCACTTGATCTCACCCCTGGAATTCTCTACTGCTACATGTTTAGTTATGATTACATGAATGAGACATGAATAAAAAAAAAAAAAGTAGTCACCTTCCCAGCCTCCTTTGCAATTTGGCATGGCTATTTGGCCAACTACTGGTCAATGTGATGTAAGCAGACTTCTACTGGTATGGCTTCAAGGAAAGTTATTGTTTTCCTGATGAAGCAGAATAGACAGCTAGTACAAGAGTTTTGCTCTGTGTTCTTCTTCCTGCTGGAATATAGATGTGATGCCCTGAGGTTTGGCAGCCTTCAGATAAGCCTGAGGAAGAAAACACCTGCTGAGGATGGTGCATTGGAAAGGTGAAGTGTTGATCCTAGAGGATTTCTAGAATTGCTGGATTGTCTACCTTTCAACATCTTGTTTGTAAGCAGAAATAACCCCTTCTTATTATAGTCAAGTTTTCTGTTACTTCCAGTCAAAAACAATCCCAAGTGAAGGAAAGAAAAAACTCAATCAATACAAAAATGGAAGTGAACCATAATCATTTACAAGAACCAGTCTCAAAGATATTAACAGAATGCTCATATAACAAGAGGAAACAGCAAAGTAATACTTGGTTTGTTTTACAAGTGCAAAGTAAAAGAACCATCATATCATTTATGATATCAATTAAATTAGCAAAATAAATAAAAGCAACAAAAATAAATACTGATTAGATAGCTGCAGAGAAACAGTGTTTATTACTTAGTAAACTAGTTTATTCTCCAGAGAACAGCCTGTTCCCCCCCCCCCAAGGCCGTCCCTGTAAGTCTGTGGGAACTACACACCCAGCACATGTGGCAAATAGCTCTTTATACCATCCATGAGGCTGTCCTCACCTCCTCAACCTACTTTGCAGCCATTTCCTCCTAAGCCCAACCTTTGCAAGGAAGAAGACCCAGGGCTTGGTCCTGTATTCTTGCTCTCTCTCTAGATCCAGCCCTGTGTCTTTAAATATTCTTTAGCAGCTAAAAGTCTCAAGTTTAGAATTTTAGCCTAAACCTAAGGTTCCACACTTACATATCCAACTGCCTGCTTGCCATATCCATTTGAATGGCTAAGAAGTGTCTCAAACTGAACATGTCCAAACTCTTGATTGCACCCGTCCAAAAGTCTCAAGTTTAGAATTTTAGCCTAAACCTAAGGTTCCACACTTACATATCCAACTGCCTGCTTGCCGTATCCATTTGAATGGCTAAGTGTCTCAAACTGAACATGTCTAAACTCTTGATTGCACCCGTCCAAACCTGTTACATCCCTGCTCTTCGTAACCTCCTGTCCATGGCAGCGCCATCTACCTATGCATGCCTGCTCAGTTGCTGCAGTCGTGTCTGGCTATTTGTAGCTGTAGCCCGCCAGGCTCCTCTGTGCATAGGATTTCCCAGGTAAGAGTACTGGAAAAAAAAGAGTACTGGAGTGGGTTGCCATTTCCTCCTCCAGGGGCTCCTCCCGAGCCAGGGGTCAAGCCTGAGTCTTCGGTGTCTCCTGCATTGTAGGCAG